AGAACATTTCCCATTAATTCTGTGGTTGCACATGTTTCTTAGTTCTATTAGATTTTCTGACCCTCTCAGGAATCACTGCCGGATTATGGCTAGATATATTTCTCTGGTCTGTCAATAGATAATGTTTCCCTGCTTTAAATTTCAATAAGATAAGAAAGAGGAAAAACTGGGTTGTGTTTTGCTAGCACATCCTAAACCATAAGGTCAAGATTTATAAACAGCTTACTTTTCTAACAGATTTTCATGAAAAATCAGTAAACAAAGACTCAAATTTTATGAAAATTAATAATTGCTAGGCCAAGATAAGAGGCAACAGTAATTTATAATACTCCATATTTAGGGAACAGACTGAAGGAAGTTTAATTTCTTAAGGAGTTTAATGATTTGCATCTCAGAAATTCAAACCATATGATGAGACTGTTAGGATGAGGTTCCAGCTTTACAGTTTTTTAACAGTAATGATATAATATGGACCTGTAAAATGCTTTTGCTAATTGATCTAGTTGCAGACTTATATTTATGTTTATACATTTATAACCAGCGCAGTGGACATTCAGGATAAACCCATTATAGTAATATAAAGGATCTAAGGCACATCCGCTCTTCTGAGCTATATAATTACAATGAAGGTTCAGAACATTCTGCCTTTTTCGGATGGAGCTTTTAATGTTATAGTAGAAATAGTGCATCTGGATGGAAACCTCTGTTAATTATGAGTCCTGCTATTGGCTCTATATGAAATCTACTAACCTGATAGATAAAGCCACTCATCCGAGGACTTGCAGATAACATTATCAAGACATTTGAAAATAACATGAGGTACCGCTCCTCTTTTTCCTGAAGTGGAATGAAAAATATTAAATGAAGAATAGAAATTGGACATTTTATTTGTTAAGAATTTCTGGCCCTGGCTAGTGTGGCTCAGTTGGTTGGAGCATCATCCTGTACACCAAAAGGTCATGGGTTTGATTCCCGGCCAGAGCACATATCTAGGTTCCATCCCCAGTTGGTGCATGAATGGGGAGACAACCTATCAATGTTTCTCACATCGATTATTTTTTTTCTGTCTTTCTCTCTCCCCATTCCTCTCTCTAAAATCAATAAACATAGCCTCTGGAAATACTATTTTGTAACATAGATCTTACATAAGGCAATGAAACATGAACAGCAAATTTAAAAGAAAGATACTCAATTTAAAAGCACAGAACTAGTTGAATTTTATTTTGAAATGGATATAAACCAAGTCTCTCTCCTTCCCATACATAACAATTAAATACAAATAACCCTGGTTGTTTCCCAAGTATGTAAGCCTGAGAGTCACATAATTAATGCCTTCCTGCCCCAGCTGCAGCCAGAGCACCAGATAACTATCTAGGTTCACAAAAAGAAAACTATTTTATTTTGAAAAGTAGCAAAATAAAGAGGTTTTCAGGTGATAGGAAATTTATTATGTTCTAACATGTATGTTAAATTCTTATTTATAAAATTACTTTTAATCAGTAAGAACAAGATAGTTTTTGCATATATAAAGAGAAGCAAATACTTTTTAATGGCACAAAAGAAAATTATACGCAGAAGGATTTCTCTGAACTCCTTAAACAGATATGCAATTAGTAGATGCAAACAATTACATTCAGCTTACATGTCCAGCCATCTTAGCTGCAATTATCCTTATACCTATCTCCATCTTCTTCTTCCCACTTGAGAAGAGCAACATTTTGAAGCTAACTCTTCTAACAAGGGCTCTCCATCCTTTCACATCTTTCTCTTCCTTGGCTTCCTTCTATAGATATCTCACCTCCATCTTCCAGCAGCCTCACCTATTCAATCAGCTTTTTCTTTTTGCTTTTAACATATGCACATTTCCTATCATAATAGGCCTTCACTTGCCCCTGTGACTACTTATACAAAATACCACTTCTTGTTATATTTCACTGGTCTATAAATAGATAATGTTTCCCTGCTTTAAATTTTAATCAGATAAGAAAGGGGGGAAACTGGGTTGTGTTTTGCTGCCTTCATGTTCTCCCTATTGATCTCTACCTACTTGCTTTGTTCTCTTAAAGTAATCAATAACTGCCTTCTAGCGAAATCCAATGGCTTCTTCTTGGTCTCCATGCTCCTTGACCTCTGAACTTTCTGTAGCACTCAGCAGGCTGTCCATTTTCAAATGATTTTCCTGGACTTTCCATGACTCCACACTCTCCCAGTCCTCCTCTATCTTCCTCTTTGTCTTTTCTTTCAGGTAGTGATTCTTCCTCCCTTCTTTGAAGAGGTTTATCCAAAGGTGTGAAACTCTAATAGTTAAACTCTCTGCATTAACCTCCCCCAGAGTATTTACATTTTAAATGAGATTGCTTATTAACACTATGTAATGAATCTCTGACAGAGACCTGTCCGGGAGCATAGGAAGATGTTTTAAGAGTGGGAAGGCAATTCTAACACCAGATAAATCATACCAGTTGACATAATCAACCTTCTTCCCTTACTCTACCCCCTTCCTAAAAAACATAATACATCTTCAGCCCTCTGTGCTTCTCTCTGGATATTTACTTCCTTGGAAGGCCCATCTGTCAAAGACATCTAAGTCTCTGCCTCTAACTCTGACCTCCCACCCACATTTCTATACGTTTTTTTTTAACAGCTACCTTCAAGACATTTCCACCTGGATACCTACAGTTACTTGAAAGCTAACACATCTAAATTACATTTGTTATTTCCTCTAGCCCACAACTTCCTATAGACTTTCCCATCTAAACATGCCTGAGATTTGCCCCTTAAGTTTCATTCTCTCCACCACTACCTTCATCAGGGGTACTTATCACTTTCCAACTCATCTATACTTTCTGTTTCTAGCCCCACCCCCTCCAGCTTACCTGACATATATGGTTGTCAGATTAAATATCCATTTCATTATGTTTCTCTTCTACCAAAGTCTCATAGTTTCCTATTGCCTGCTGCGTCAGTGTGAACTATTCTTGTCTGACATCCAAGGTTCTTCATAACCGGACTCTGACTCAATCAACTTCTCCACTCTGCCCAACATGCTTCCTCTGCTCCTAACAGACTGGCTTCCTCACTGTGTTGTGGAAAAAAGACCATTTCCTGTTCTCTTCTGGAATAAAAATGACCTCTACCTTACAAAATCCTCTCCTTCCCTCTTCATGGCCCTCCTCCTCAAATCTTATCTCCATAAAATATTCTTCTTTACACTCCATAAAATATCCTTCTCTGAACGTCAATAGAATCTATTGTTGAGATTGCACAAACTGGCATTGATTATTTTGGTTTGTTTTCTACTCTCAACTTGTGTTTTAATCTGTTCTTAAGGAATTCTTTGAAGGCAGAGAACAATGTATGTTCTGTCTTCCTATCTCCCGTAGCACCTAGCAGTATTGGGCAAAGAATAGGTGCTCAGTTTCTTTGAATGTTCGAGCATTTGACCTTGATTAAAGAACAAATAAAGGAAGAAAAACGGAAAAAAATGGTGATGAGATTTGAAACATCTTACCTCACATGTTCCGTACTGTACCATTACTTGTGACATAAAAATTACACTTCCCAATGTTTTAATATCCTCCCCTTCCCATGCCTGAATAGGTTCAGAAAGTATCTGCAACTCCAGCTGTTTTCGTTTTCTTAGATCTTGGCACTGTCCCTATAGAAGAAAAGCAGAGGAACAGAAATTCTTATGAAACAGACCTAAAACAAGACCAAAGTAAGATGTGGCTTTTGAGTCTCATAGACTTCCACAGTGTTCCTAGTCTTCACCATGAATCCCACCACCAATGTCTTGACAGATGGAAAAATCCACTACTCTCAATTTCTAGCCTTGAGTCTCCAAAAGTTTTGTGAAGAAGAGCTACTTTTCATCTTGCCAAAATATCAAGATAAAATGGAGGAAGGAGTTTGTTTCTCCTTCCCTGCAAGTAATATGGGAAGACAAGTAGCAGAATCACATCAAACAGAACCAGGAGACCAATTGGTAGATTCAGAACTTCTGGGTGATGTCCCTGCTCTAGCTCCTCTCAATCTTGTCTACCTACATAAATAGTGTTTTAATTACAAAGCTATTTTATTTTTCTAATACATGCTCAGTTTCCAATCAACTAACATCTTAATTTTTTTAAAAAAAAGTGACTCCAGACCTGGCCAGCATGGCTCAGTGGTTGAGCATCAACCTATGAACCTGTAGGCCACGGTTCAATTTCCGGTCAGGGCACATGCCCGGGTTGTGGGCTCGATCCCCAGTGGAGAGTATGCAGGAGGCAGCCAATCAATGATTTTCTCTCATCATTGATGTTTCTATGTCTCTCTCCATCTCCCTTCCTCTCTGAAATCAATAAAAAAATACTAAAAAAATAAAAATAAAAAGTGACTCCAAGAATTACAGAAAAAGAGAAAAATTAATTCTTTATGCCACAACGAATCAAACTAATCTTATAATAAAACATATGTACTACCCTGTACTTTATTTAGGAACTACTAGTAAATTCTATTAAAAATACTAAATTAATTTTTATTCCTAAAAGGATTGGAAAAAAAAGATACACCTGAATTTCATGAATACAAATGGAAAATACAAACCAAGAAACAATAGGTGGGATATAAATACAATACAACACACACACACACATACACACACACACACACACACACCATTGCTTCAGAAAGTATGAAATTATCTTAGAGTAATTTAACAGTACTCATTCCAAATTAAATATAAAAATAAGCATATGATTAGTTATGTCACTGTTTGCAAATGAATGTCAGTTTTTTTGGATGTGTTTTCTATAAAATTTATGCTGCTGCTTTCAGCAAAATGGAAACTTGAAGAAATAAATTCATTGTACATATATTTTTGAAGCATCTATAGTGCAAATAAATATACTATCACCATCAAAGCAAGTTTTACAACATGTGTTGAACCATGTAAAACTGCCAATATTAGACTGTTTTTGATCTATAAGAGCAATTTTAACCTAATTCCTTACTATGGTCTTCAATTTTCTGTTTAACCACGGACATGTCAGGTACTGATCTTTCAACAGCAATAAAAACGAGGTGATAGTGAATGTTGCATCACAACCTTACAGCAAGAATCAATAACTAAACATTAATCTCAATCACTTAGAATGCTACAGAAATGTCTCAACTGAAGCTAAACTTAGTCAGTTGCCCAAAATAATGTTTTATTTCCTTCTAAAATGCCACCAAGTGGTTTTACATCAGTTGGTATCAAGAAGTCATTAACTATCATGCTCAAGATACAAGATTACAGGTACATTTGATAGCAATCTATATAAAGCAATTGTATTTTAGTAGGTTTTCTTTTCCTTTTACATTTGATGAAGATTTTTTCATATGCAAAGAATAAATTCACACCTTTTGGCATAAGTAGATGAATCTAGTATTGATGTCAGTCAGTGAACAACAAGTTGAACCAACATAAGGTGAGCAACACAGGGGTAAAGACAAAGAGACTAAAGGAAACCCCCCACCTACACAGCAATGCTTAATGTGGCAGAGACTTCAAATGTGAGTGCTTTATACCCTCAGACTGGCAACCTTTCTTAGGTAAGCATGATTTTTGGAAGACAAATTTAAATGAATCAATCCTGGCAATATTGTCACTAGAGCTTATTGTTTCCACTCTAAAGACCTTTTCATAAGAAAATAAATGTTACACACAAATTACTCTTTTAGAAACACAGCATAAAAATGGAGAAATATAATTTTAGAGCATGACCTACCATGAGAGTTTTGAATGCTATGATGGCTTTCAGAACATCTTGATGATCTGGATGTGTATCCTATTAAATGAATACATTTTAAAACAATATTAAAAGAGAACAGATCAGTAGTTGCCAGGGGTTAGAGGTGGGAGAAGGGTGTGGCTGCAAAGAGACAAAATGAGGAAATTTTGGGGATGATGGAACCGTTCTGTATCTCAATAGTGGGAGTAGTAACACAAATCTATGCATGTCATAAAACTGACATCAAAAGAAAAAAGTCAATTTTAATGTATGCTAATGTAAAAATTTAAAGAAAGCATTTGAGCATTTGGAATCTCAGCATTGCCAATTATTAGACGATTAAGAAATTAAAACCTGACCGGAGAGCTCATTTGGTTAAAGTATTACCCTGATGCACCAAGGTTGTGGGTTTGAACCCCTGTCAGGGAATATTCAGGAAGCAACCAGGGAATGCATGGATGGGTGGAACAATTAATCAATTTTTAAGCCCTGGCCACTCTGGCTCAATTGGTGGAGTGTTGTCCATACACTGAAACACCAAAAAGTTGTGGGTTCAATCCCCAGTCGGGGCGTATGGGGAAGGCAACCAATTGATGTTTTTCTCTCACATTGATGTTTCTCTCTCTCTCTCTCTCCCTCTCCCTTCCTCTCTAAAATCAATTCTCTCTCTCTCTCTCTCTCTCTCTCTCTCTCTCTCTCCCTCTCTTTCCTCTCCCCTTCCACTTCCTAAAATAAAATAAAATTTTTTTAAAAGATATGAAAATGGGTGGTAACACATCATTATATTTGATAACCACATATTAGGTATGGTTATTGAGGCAAAAGTTACCATTTCCTTTTTTGCTGTTAATAAAAAAATAATTGGGGGCATCATTAGTCACATTGTTAGTAAATGACAACAGATAGGGAATTATGGAAACAGAGTGGTGGTTAAGAGAAAAATCAATCCAATTTTATCTCCTAAAATGCTTCTTTTTTCTTTCAGCAGACTCAAATGGCAAATGGGGGGGGGGGGCGGAATCCAAGTTTTATACCATATATGCCTTCTTAAGCAAAGTTATTACATATGGTCTGCAATTCCACAGTACTTACAACCCCCAAAAGTAGACAGCTTCAAAAATTGCTTTGAGCAGGATTGGGGGCGGGGTGAGGGAGCAATGGGGGACCACACATTTTTAATACCTTAATCAATAAAAAAATTGCTTTGAGAAATGCACATCTCCATAACTGTTTATGAAGGAAAAGTAGAGCTTCTTGGGGATAGATATACACCTATATGGGGTTATATGAAGTATAGATATGTATCAAACATTGGGGGTATATATGTACCTAACCTTTGGAATTCAGCTGGAGTAATGGGAAGACAATCTGCTGCTCAACCAGCCTTGGGTGATAAAATACAGAGCTGAACAGACTAGGGGTCTGACCCAAGCCAAAACCAGCATTGTTTAATGAAAGGAAAGGTTGTATTCTTTTTATACTTAAATTTATCCTTACCCAAATCAGCTGTAAAGTTCAGGTTCTATCTTCCATTAGCCATCAGCCATACTAAACAATCAGAAAGCTGGATCAAGTGTCTCACTGGTGGTGAATCAGTGCTAAGGGTGTGTATTATCTGATGGTGTAAAATGGAAGGCAGCCAAGACAGGTAACTGACAGCAAATGGAGGTAGAAGTAAAAATGGGCTCTGATACAAGGAAGGCCAAGATAGAGGATCCAGGCAGTAGGAGATCTGGGGATTTTTCTCTCTAAATTAAGTGTATATTCGTAGTTCAGTACTGAGCAGTAACAGAAACTGAGGCCACTAGTTTCTGGATTTTTGTGACAAGCAAGGAGGGGCAAACCTCAAACGGTTCATCATATTGTTTAAGCTTTTGGAAAGGCATCCAGGGGTTGGCACCTTCCCAAGCCCTAACTGAAATTTCATTCCGGCGGACTTTACTACTAGTTCCCCACTGCCTCCAGCTTTCTGGCAGGTCAAATAACCTGAGAATGTGGTTTTGCTCAGAGTAAATACTTTCAATCCTTACAAATGCTGACAAGACAAGCAGTGTGCAACTTTTTTTTTTTTTTAGAGATAATCAAACCCTTTAAAACCTCAAACCTTTCCCCAGACACAGGAAGAGCAAGTAGGGTGAATGCAGCCTCCCCTAGCAGGCTCTCCTTTCCCACCCACACCTCAAAACCCCATGTTCATGAGCAGCTCAAGAAGCTATCCCTGTTATTTGTTTTTTAATAAGAGTGCCTGGGCTCTTGGTAAAAAAATAAAAATCAATTATCAGGCCTCACTGAAATCTTAATATTTAGAAAACATATGGCTATATTATAGCTGTGGCAAGTTAATTGTAAGTTTATAAACAAAAATGTGAGGGGACCGTGATGTAGATGTATAGATGCAAAGAGAGATAAACTAATATTGGACCCATTTATTAATCTTTAAGGAAATACAAGAATCTTCCATTATAATCCAAAGTCAGGCAGCTGAATGACCACAGAACTCAAGAGATCAATATTCCTGTCTATATCCCACAATAAGGTTGTTCATATACCAGAACATAAGATTTCCTGGATGATTTTGATTGAACCACCATCTACAGATGAGACGGCAGAAGAAAACCTAAGTCAACAAGTTAGCAGAGACTTGAGGGAAGCAACAGGACCAAGGCTGGGAGGGGAAAAGGAGAAAGAAGAATGATCATGAATATTTAATAGTAAAGGGTGGATAACATAGGTTCATGGTGATTATAGTTTATAACATTGTATTGTATACTTTTGCTAAGAGAGTAGATCTGAAGAGTTCTCAGTATAAAAAATGGTAACTATGTGAGATGATGGATGTGTTCATTAACTTGATTGTGGTAATCATTCCCCGACATTTGTGTATATTGAATCATCACATTATACACCTTAAGAAAATCATGTTGTATAACCCAATATACACAATTTTTATTTGTCAATTATACTTCAATAAAGCTGGAAAAAATAAATAAAAATGCATAAAGAGTAAAGAATATTCCAAAGGGGGGAAATGCCCCCTTTTTTGCTGCACAAAAAGAAAAACCAAAAGTCTGGGAAGAGGGAAGATTGGATCAAGTAAATTTGGAAACTAGGGCTTTTTCTGAATTCTGCAGTAAGGTTAAGTTTGAAGGAAGACTGACAGCTTCCTCTAAGAGCAGAGCCCCATAATTTGTGCATGAGCTTTAAAAAGCTCACCTTCCCTTACCTCCATATGCCGTTCCAACTCTTGCAAGAGAGTAACATACTTCTCCAGTCTCATGAATGGTTTGCTGAGGCTTGTTGTTAAAATGAGGATACCTGGGCTGGATGCACCTTGATTTTCCATAAATTGCTCCAGTTCATCACTACCAAGAGGACAAATACAAATTTGTTACTGCTTAATCTTTCATGAAAAAAATTGACTGAACATTATTTAATGTATTTCACATAACTGGACTAAATGCTGTCCCTTTCATTTTAACTTAATCCAATAAACCTTTATTCAGTTCCTCTATGCAATTAGCATTGCACAGAGCGCTGGGGCTACAGTGGTAAGCCAGACATTCATGAACCCTGGCTTCATTTACTCATCCAAAAATTACTGCATCTACTAAGCAACAGGCTCCATTCTCTGTTGGGAATACCACAATGAACAAAACAGAAATCCCTACCTATAAGGAGACTGCATTCATGGGAATAGGGCATACAGTCTATCAGATGACCTTGATATCAGGTTTTAAAAGCTATTTGCTTGTCGCTTCAAACATCCTAGCTATTGGCTGGTCAGATGCCAAGGGTAGCAACTCACCAAGTGCTCCCTATCACCGGAGCACCCACTTGTATTGTTCCAGAATCAAGTACTAAACTCAGAGAGCAGCATGTTTGTATGACTAACTATAAAGTCTCTTAGCCTAGGATCTGAAACCAGTATAGCAAGCTACCCAAACAACTTGGTTAAAAATAAAGGAGAGTGTATTAATAGTTTATTAACTATGTCCTGTAAATATCTATTCTCAGCTTGTGCTTTCTCTGCCCTTTAAGCACCCTGTGGATTGTCTTCACCAACAGGATATTGAGTCCCAAGGCTGCAAAATCATTTTAATATACATTTACACAAAATATAATTAAAGAATACCTACTGCCTAACTAAACCATATTTTGAAACTTTTGCCTATCATTTGATCCCTTTACCTCTATGCTTGCCCAAGCATATCCTATCAGTCACAAGTCTTCTTGTATCTGTTTATTCCTTTCCATTCCCACTACCACTGCCTCAGTTCAGGCTTTCTCATCTTTTTTTTTAAAATATATTTTATTGATTTTTCACAGAGAGGAAGGGAGAGGGGTAGAGAGTTAGAAATATCGATGAGAGAGAAACATCGATCAGCTGCCTCCTGCACATTTCCCACTGGGGATGTGCTCACAACCCAGGTATATGCCCTTACCCAGAATCGAACCTGGGACCCCCCCAGTCCGCAGGCCAAACAGTCCACACCGACGCTCTATCCACTGAGCCAAACTGGTTTCGGCCAGGCTTTCTCATCTTATCTGGTTCACTTCAATAACCCAAGTGATCTTCTAGGCTTTTTCACTTCTGAACTATTCTGAATACCACCATTTTATTTTTTTTATTTTATTAAATCTTTATTGTTCCGATTATTACATTTGTTCCTCTTTCTTTCCCCCCATAACTCCCCTCCCCCCAGTTCCCACCCCACCCTCTGCCCTTACCCCTCCCACTGTCCTCATCCATAGGTATACTATTTTTGTCCAGTCTCTCTTGCACCCCCACACCCCTTTCCCCCCCAAGAATTGTCAGTCCACTCCCTTTCTATGCCCCTGGGTTCTAATATATTCACCAGTTTACTCTGCTC